CCTCTCCAAAAAAAAAAAAAGAAATGTGATAATAAGTTGGAAGATGAGGGAGTGAATCTTTTGTTTACCTAATTTAGTTGGTGTTCTACTTCAGTCATTAAAATGATTAAATTTAAATAAATATGTTTTAAAATGCATTTGGGTCCAGCTCTGTAACCTGGTGGTTGAGGCAATTGGATCCCACATGGCCCACCATGCAGTTTGAGTCTTGGACCCATCAGCTTGAGAAACATGCCAGCAGCCTGTCCCCAAAATCTCAGAAGAAGGGAGAGACAAAGAAGAGGGATTGTTGTATGACCATTCTCCTTGTGGGATGGGAGTGTTTTCTCCTCTACCTCTGTCAGAGTTTCTGTGTCTGGCTAGTACATACGTCCCTTAGCCAAAAAAAAAAAAAAAAAAAAAAAGAAAGGGGGAGGGAGCTGGCTCCTCTGTGGCCTGTAGTGGTTAAGGCAGCCAGATTGCACATGACCAACCCTGTGGTTCAAGTCCTGGACCCAGTGGCCTGAGAAACACACTAGGCACATGTGTGTGCATGCCCCAAATCCAAAATAGAAAACAACACAATAAAAAAATAAGCAAGATCCCAAATAGATGGAAAGGTGAAGGAGAAGGGATTGCAGTGTGACCATTCCCGTGGAGGATGCTTTCTCCTTTCCTGTTCTCTGTTTCTCTCCAGTGAGCTCATGCACCCTCTAGCAAAGAGAAAAAAAAAAAAAAAGTAACGTATCATTGGTAAAGGAGTAGTATAAAATTTACTACCAAAAACAGATTTAATTTGTTGGACTGAAAATTTCAAAGTGGTTCACATCAATCCAAGTGATGAAAAGATACCACTTTTAAAAAATAGCTCTCATGGGAGCAGTAGATGGCATAATGGTTATGTCACTAGACTCCCATGTAATCAACCACGGTTCGAATCCTGGACCCAGTGGCTTAAAACTCACATGGGGCGCTTGTGTGTGCATGCCCAAGATCCCTAGAGAACAATGGAGGTGAAGGGATTGCAGTGTGGCCATCCCCCTGGGGGGTCATTTCTTGCTTGCTCGCTCGCTCGTGCTCTCTCTCTCTCTCTCTCTCTTTCTTTCTTTCTCTCTCTCTGCCTCTCTGATTTTCTGGCAAGTGCACAGGCACTACAGCAAAAATTTCTCTCTAAAAAAAAAAATAAATAGCTTTCAGAAATAAGCTTTTGAAATTTTACTAACGATCCATTAAGTTTTTATTAATTTAGTTGGGTGGATTTAGCAAGTTCACTTTGAAATTAAAATATTAAATAATATTCAAAATTTGGAATATGTCTTCCATTCTAAAATATGTAGTTTTGTTTTATTATTACCATTTGTCACTAAGACTTTGTTATTTTTTAGAAAGATTTTTGCTACAGGGCCCGTGTGCTCTCCAGAGAGACAGAGAGACAGAAAGCAAGAAATCTCCCCCCAGGGGGGTGGGCCTTGGTACATTCCCTTTTCCTCCTCCATTCTCCTCTCGGGATTTTAGGCACACACACACATATGCCCAGTGTGAGCTTCAGCCGCCAGGTCCGGGACTCCAACTGTGGTCAACTAAACTATGTGAGAGTCCAGCAACGTAACCATTACACCATCTGCTTGTCCTTGTCACTAAGAGCTTTTGTTGTTAAGTGTTTATGACACTGCTATTAATGTGTTTAAAGTTAATTATCACCTAAATTTCAAAATAGGAGTTCATAGTGTTTGGAGATCAGAGAATATATTTGTGAGTTTCATGTTTAGTTCTAGAAAGTGAATGACATTGAGATGGCAAGTTCAGCAAGTACTTGTGTACCTTCTCTGATCCTGTTTAGTTGGGGAGAGAAGGTTTACATGCATGAAATAGAAGAAAATAATGCACTTGTCTATATACATTCCTTATCTTTAGAAAAAATTTTAGACAGTGAAATCTTCAATTACAAAAAATGTCTATATCTGTAAATATGGTTTTTCTATCCCTTGTTAGTGCTGTATGTGCATAGGCCAGTTCCTTTTTTTCATCATATACTAAACTTTAAATGATATAGCAGTGTTATAACAACAACAGAACATTTGTACATTATTTTCAGATTACTTGTCTTTCTCAGGCTTCAACTTGTTTTCCTTGATTAGGTATGGAGATATCTTAGCTTTTTATAATCAGTATAAAAACTTGCCTAATCCACAAAAGCTTTTTCTCAAGTAATAGTTACTAGTAGTTCTACATTCTGTAGGGTATACTTTGGGATAAAATCTGTTATCCATGACTGATATATGAACTTTCACTTAGAATAGACTAAATTCTATATGTGGTTAACCTGGTCTAGTTTATGTTGATTAATACAGGCTTTAATTTATGGTGGTATGACCAAATTTAGTAAGCCTCTTTAATAATGATGAGATAAAATTTTTGTTAGAAGACAAAAGGCAAATTATTTGAAAATGATTTAATAATTTCAACACACTGTCAGGCAAGTTTGTATCTTTTAAAGCATTTCATCCAATTTTCAGAATTGGGATTTTTTTCTTTCTGCTTTTTAAATTTTTGATTGATTTTCTTAGTCATTTAAGCCTTTTCCTTGCTGTTGGAAGTATTATAGAATAAATAGAAAACATAGGAAACAATTTAATGTCTGTCACCTATGTTTTATTTAATGTATAGAATAAGAAAAATATAGAAAATTTTTCTATGGTGTTCTGTTTCCAAAATTTTAGAATGTCTCAATCTTTGTCATTTAAGCAGAGCAAACAAGATTAATTGGGAACAAATTAAAATACACACATACTTTTTTTTTTTTTTTTTATGGTTTCACCATAGGATCTGTGTGCTCACTGGAGACAGAGAGAGGAAAAGTGAGGAAACACCCCTCCCCCCACCCCAAGGAGGAGGAACATACCTCAATCCTTTCTCCTCTATTCTCCTCTCACAATTTTGGAACGCACGCATGTGCCTGGTATAATTTTCAAGCCACTGGGTCTGGCGTTTGAACCTTATTTGTCCATGTGAAAGTCCAGCACCTTAGCCATTATGCCACCTGCTGGCCCTGTTTAGAAATAACTCTTTAAAAAAGGAAAAATTAAAAAAACAAACAAACAACCAAAAAAACACCACTCTTTATTGAATGTAGAGACAAACAAAAAGAATAGTTTTCCTTATAGCCCAGTAAAATGCTCATTCCTTTATTACTTCCTTAAAGAAGCCTGCCATTATCTTTCTGACTAGTTAAAATTTTCCTTGTTGGGCTTGCATATAGCACTAGGTATTTCTCTTGTGTAATTATATAATTTTACTTATTTCTAGGTTATTTTGATGATTATTTCTGCTCTATTCTATAATATTCTGGAAGACAGAAGAATTATTTCTAGGTTTATATACATTTCTACCCCTTCAAACAGTACCTGACACGTTGTGTAGGGGTCTAGTGGACAAGTAAATGAACCATATTATATGGTTCACTCAGATAGCTAAGATTAACCCTCAGTATGTATCTTTCATATCCTTTTCAAGATATATATTTTTTCAGATAAGTTCCTACTGTACATACCATTTTACTATCTGCTTTTTTTCCATAACAATATACCACATATAATAGTAT